TTATTGCCTTCTTTTATAGTAAGTGAATATTTTATTGTAATAATTCGATTCCTTGATCCTTTTTTTGAGTTTTATTTTTAGTGGTTGCTCTAGGCCTACAGTATACATGCAAACATTTATTTACTTCAGAATTTACTACCTTAATTCCAGTGAGATATTTAAAAATTACTCTACATGGCTTGCATATTATATCTAAGTAAGAAACCCTACAATCCATTATATTTTTTGTCATTGAAAGTAATGGCAAAAATGGCAGTTACTTTTACACCAACCTGATAATTATTACATTATATTTTCTATCTGCAGAAGCTGAAAGGTGAGCAAGAGTGTGTGTGTGTGTGTGTGTGTGTGTGTGTGTGTGTGTGTGTGTGTATTTTAATTTTAATTTTTTTTGAGACAGCCAGGCTGGAGTGCAATGGCACAGTCTCAGCTCACTGTAACCTCTGCCTCCTAGGTTCAAGCAATTCTCCTGCCTCAGCTTTACAAGTAGCTGGGACTACAGGTATTCACCACCACACCCTGCTAATTTTTGTATTTTTAGTAGAGTTAGGGTTTCTCCATGTTGGCCAGGTTGATCTCAAACTCCTTACTGCAAGTGATCCATCTGCCTCTGCTTCCCAAAGTGCTGGGATTGGAGGTGTGAGCCACTGTATCCAGCTGCAAGTAAGTATGTATAGAGTTTGTTATCTTAACTAGTTTGCCTGTCATTTTTAGTTAATTTGTTACTGTGGATGCAAGTTGCCATCTGCTGTCATTTCTTTAATCCAGTACACTTTTATCCTTATCCACCTCCTTTTTGCTCTTTTGTCAGATACATACAGTTCAATATGTTATAGATGAATCGGCTAACTATGTATCTATTGTTTAATTTACACAGACAGGAGTTGGGGAAATACTGGGTAGACGAAGGCAGTTCGATGACAAAGGCACTATCCTCAAGCTTGGAAACCCATGGTCCTAAATGGGAACAGATTTTCCTGTTTGCACACCCAAATGTTGCCTTTTGGCCCCCGCCCCCCATCCTGTACCCATATAAGCCCCAAACCCCAGGCTCCATGAGCAGAAGAGCAGACAGACAAAAGAGTAGCAGAGTGGCAGAAAGGTACTGCAGAGGAGAGAAGAGAAGGAGCAGCTGAATGTTAAGAGGTGTTCAGCTAGGGATGGTCAGAGACGAGATTGACTGCCCGACAGGCAACTCCAGAGGAAGGTCATTTTCCCACTCCATCCCCTTTTTAGCTCCCCATCCATCTTACTGAGAGCCACCTCCACCACTAAATAAAACCCCTGCATTCAACATCCTTCAGGTACGTGTATGATCTGATTCTTTCTGAATGCTAGACAAGGACCTGGGTACCAGGAGAGCACTAAGCTGGTTAACACTTTAGCTCTGCCATCTGCAGAGAGCTTAAGGACACTGTAACATGCCCACTGGGCTTTCAGAGTCACAAGTACCCATCTCTAGATGCTACTGTGGGGCTGGAGCCCCAAAGCACTCACTCTAGCTACTGTATCTGCCCATTTGGGTGCTCCCCATCCTGTAAGGAGTTTGAGCATATGGCAGCTAAACAGATAGGTCATACTCCTATTACAGGTTTTGTAAGGGGATTCAGGAAACTCTTCTGTTTTGTAATTCCTTTTAAAAACAATATATATAGAGAAATACAAATTATACTCTTTTATAATTATCATTACTGATACACTTTGTTTTTTAATGTGAATTAGAATTACTGTATTAGGTTGCTTTCCTTCAGGCTGAACATTTGTTGATTTTTGTTTTTGGAAAATGAATCTGCTAGCAAAGAATTCTGTTTTTCTGTGGAATTGTTTTGATTTTGCTTTCATGTAGAAATACTGGTTTTGCTGGATATGAGATATTTTTCCTTTTAGTGACTATTACCGTGCTACCTTCTAACTTGTTTCTCATAAGTCACTTGTTAATCTTACTTATGTTTTTTCTCAAGCTGCTTTCAAGATTTTTTTCCTTGACTTTGGCTTTCAGCTCTTTGACTATGATGTGTCTAGATGTGGATTTCTTTCTGATTTTTGTACTTGGAGTTCATTGAGCTTCTTGAAGACTAATTTTTTCTTTATTTTGGGAAGGTTACCAGTCATTTTCTTGAATTTTTTTTTCCTGCTGCTTTCTCCTCTTTACTTTTGGTACTGCCAATACAAAATTGTTAAGTACTTAATGGGGTCCTTTATTCTGAGACTCTGCTCATTTCTCTTCTTCCTTTTTTCCTCTCTCTTGGGATTGTATTACTTCTGTTGATTTAAGTGTAAGTTTATTGATTCCTCTCCAGTTCAAACCTGTCTCTGCTCTTTTATAAATGTTCATTAAAGTTTTCAACTCCAGAATTTCTATTTTTTTTTAAATGGCTTAACATTAGTGACAGTGCCTACCTTGCTTTACCACTTTAAGTGTAATTTCCTCTGGTTCTTTGAACATATTTATAATAGTTGATTCTGATTTGAGGTCTTTATCTGCTAAGTTTGTTATATGGGTGGGGCCTTCTCATAGGCAGTTCCTGTTGCCTGCCCTTCCCCTTCCACCCCATTCCTGTAGGCTGTCACTTTCCTATTTGGATGCATGTGTTGCTTGCTTATTTATGACTTGGCTGGTCTATTTTAGTGAAGTCTTTTTCTTTCACAGGGAAAAGTTTCTGATGTTGGTTTTCAGAGGCTGGACACTTGAGTACTGTATAGTCCTCTTGGAATGAAAGTGATTTCAGCAGGGCTCTCTTTGACTGTCTGTTTCCTTGAACTCTGTTATGTTGTCTGCCTTTGATAAAATAGCTGTTGAGCTCCACTCATTGTGTGCTAATTGGTTACCTTTATTTTTGATAATGCCTTGGGCATATATCCCTCCATAGTCTCAGTTAAATTCTAGCCCCTTTGCAGGGGTAGTTTTTGAGGCCAGTATTCGAGGTTTGTTCCTAATCTCAGGAGAGCTTTTGTGTTAGCTGTGTTTTCCCCTGGCTTTCACTCGTAAAGTGGCTGTCTTACAGTTTAGCTTTTTGCACTCGTGTATCTCCAGCATCCTTTTAATTGCTTACCATGATGATTTTTTTTTGAGAGTATACTTAGGTTTAATTTCCAAATAACGTGAGTTCCCTTAAGGAGAGCTTCATAGCTCTCTACTCTCAAATCCTGTCTTCTGCTTGTGAAAAATCACCACATTACTACTCTGAAACTGTGGGTGGGCACAGTGTACTATTTTCTTGGAGTAAAATCCCTACTCTGTGATCTACGTGGGGCCAGTAGAAGACTCTGGTCTTCTATTTCCCCTGGTATGAAAACTGCCATATCTGTGAGCTGGAAGAAGAATGATCAGGGCACCAATATTCTCAGGCATGGGTGGGAACTATATGAAGGAGGTGGGCCTCAGCCATACTTGCACAGATTTTAGTCTCTTTGCCATAGTGCTGAGGGGCATAGGAAATGCTGGCAGTCTTCCCTTTTACACTGGGAACTTGGGGTGAGGGGGCCCTATCTTTTTAGCCATACCTACTCTGAGTAGAGCATCCATTGAGCTGACTGAGGGATAGAAGAAGAAATGGTTCATGGCTTGAGTACCACCGAGTCTGTTCTTTCAAAATTGAGTAGATTTTCTCGATTAAATGTTTCTTCATTTGTTGAATGTCCTTAGAACAATTTTCAGAAGCTTTTAATTGTTCTAAAATACCTTTCACTCATCTCAAAGAGGAGAGAGTCTGCAGAGCCCCTTGAATGGACATTTTGGATACCTCATGTTCTCTTAAGTATTTTTTAACATCATGCCCTGGTATAGAATTGAAAGGTACCTATATGTAGCTGCAGTGGAGTCTTTTTGTCTTAAAACAGCATACATATTTGTGTGTACATGCATTTCCTTCCTGTCTTATCTTCTAACCCCTATTGATAGGTATTGGGCTTGACCAGTTGAGTTTGCTCCTAACCTACCCTTCACCTACTAGGACCCTACTTCCTCTTTGTCATCCTGACTCTGTGCTCATTTTTGCTTTTATGTTTAGTTTACAAATTTCTGCTTGAAGCCCTGGAAGTGGTAACACAATTTATAAACTGTCTAGTTGGTTCATATATTAGCTTTGATTTTCAGCCACTCCGCTGGCTTTTGCAAACAAATGTGTGGAATATCTATCTTGTTCAGATGTTGGTCTCAAGAAGGCACTTGTTTTATTTGTGTATTAATTTCATATGCTGCATTCCCCATGTAGCAATTGTGTGGAAGAAAGGATGTTTTGGAGTCAATATAAGGTTTGGTTAACTGCCCACCACTGAACTGTATTTTAAAGCAGTTTCGCTAAGGCAGTTGTTTTGGTAATAACCTTCAAAACTGTATTACAATGGGACTCCATTAAAGATAAATGAAAAAATTGTCAGACACGAAATGTCTATTTCTCTAAAGTTTAGATGCAACTATTAATGAGAGAGCTTTCATCACAGCAATTGAAGTCAATGGGTATTGCCTAAGGAAGCATTGCATGGAGACTGTGTTTGAAGGGAGCTGTTTTTTCTCATGAATTAGAGCAAGACACAAATTTATTGTTTGGGTTGTTGAGTCTGATCTAGAGGGTCTTGGATAACTTGTTTATTTCCTTACATATCTAATATGTAAATCTCCTGAGGGTATAATGATAAATATTTGCAATCCATATCAGTTATTTCATGATAGTCTTTCTCTGCTTCGTTCATCTTCAGTGAATACCCAGTTGAATCTTAGCATCTTCTTTTAGTGTTGACCTTGATGGCCTGTGATCAGAAGGATTTTGAACCTCTAATGAAGACAAATTTTATCTGAATATATGAAACTGTAATACTAAAAAATTGATTTCTTTTTTTGCCTGAAATAACCATTTGTTCACACTAATTCTGATGTTTTCTTAAAGTAGCTTGTGGAAGGTATGAATAAGATCTGCTTTCAAAAGTAAGATACTGAATTCAGAATTTCACTTTAAAATAGCTTGTAGGTGATATATATTCTTTGCCTCTTTGTTGTTTAGGCAGCAGGAGCCATTCGACCTCTTGTATCTACTGTCATTAGCCCATCTGCTGATGGTTGCTTAGACCACTCGCTAGAACGTGCAAGACACCGAGCAAGTGAAATGCCTCAGGCTTTTCTATTTGATGTGATTTATGAAGCATATCAGCAGGTAAGAATTGGGGCTTTTTGAATGACCTGCTGTTATGTGGGGTTCCCCAAACAACCTTCACATTTAGAGAATTTCCAGAAGTTGTGGGACTGAGCTTATAGTTATTCTCAAGGCTGAGACTTAGTACAGTGAAGTATTGAGGTCAATGTAGCTGGATCAGAAGAGAGAGATGCATGCAGAATCTTGAGGAATCCATTTGCAGGCATCCATATACTCTCTTCCCTGCCTCTCCTGAAGATCATGCAAAGCACACCTTCCTTCCAGCAATGAACATGCAGCAAATTGTGTGTGACATTTCTGCCCAGGTAGGCACGTTAGAGGCACAGTGCCCAGGGTGTTGGATTGGTCATGTGGACATTCTCTGCTTGGCACATACAAAAATTCCAGATTTCCAGAAGGAATGTAGGTGTGGAGCATAAATCATGTTGTTGATAGGAACGATCTAGGCAGGCACAGTGAATTGCCATTATTAGTTAATTCTCAGATGCCTGTCTTGCAAGCCAGCCTTTTTAAGGACAGCAATCTTAGACTTGTTAGTTTTCTACACAGCTCCTTAGACATTTTGTTAATTAAAATGACTTAAAATCAAGTCATTTCATTAATAATGGATTGCTTCTGGCTTTTATGTTTTGGAGATACTGCTTTACTTGCAGTTTTACCGTCATATGTTTGCACATTTGTGTAAATAGTTATTGAATATCAGATATTGGACCTATCAGAAATTTCCCAATGAGATAAGTTAGAGCAACTAATCTAGTGCTTTAGTCAACTTGCTATAGGAGTGAGGAAGAATTAGGTAAGGGGATAGAAGAGTGACCATAAGGATTAGAGGGTAGTGTCCTGGAAACCTTATGAAGAAAGTACTTTCTGATTGAGCAACTGTGTTAAATGTTTCCTAGGAGTTCTAAAAAGTGAGGACTGAGAACTGTATATAAACATTCCCAATGTGAGATTACCAGTGTTTGACAGGAGTGGTGGATTTGAAAATCTTGTTGGAATTGATCTAAGAATAGAAAGGCTGGTTTTTGGAGGAACTTTTATACATATTGAATAGAGGAATGGGATGGGGTAGCTGAAGAGTTACAGATTAAGACTGATTTTTCTTTTCCCTGATGGATGATATAATAGCACATTGTCACATTGATGGGCGTGATTCAGCAGTGAGAAGACTGGTGAAGTGAGAGTGGATGGGACATACTGCTTTAGTGGTGTTGAAGTTGACCTTGGCTGGGAATATGGATAGCTCATCCACAGGGACAGGAGGAAAGAGCAGGTGGAGACAGATGCAGATAGACTAGTAGATGTGATTAGAGGACTTTGAATTTGTCACTTTTGAGGAATGCATGCAGAAAATACATAATATATACCATTTGAGAGCTAAGCAGTGCATTAGGGTTCTCCAGAGGAACAAAACTAATAGGATGTGTGAAAATATGAAAGATAACTTATCAGGAAGAATTTGCTCACACAGTTACAAGGTGAAGTCCCATGATAGGCCGTCTGCAAGCTGGGGAAGAAAGAAGCTGGTAGTGGTTCAATTTGAGTCCAAAAGCCTCAAAGGTAGAGAAGTTGAGAAGTACAGCCTTCAGTCTGTGGCCGAAGGCCTGAGAGCCCCCAGTAAACCTCTGGTGTAAATCCAACAGTCCAGATGCTGAAGAGCCTGTTGTCTGATGTCCAAGGGCAGAAGGAATAGTAATAAGCATCCAGCACAGGAGAAAGATGATAGCTAGAAGACTCAGCAAGCCAGCTTATCCCACCTTCTTCTGTCTGCTTTGTTCTAGCTGTGCTGGCAACCAATTGAATGGTTCCATCCACCTTGAGGGTGGGTTTTCCTCTCCCAGTCCACCGACTGAAATATCTTTCCTCTGGCAACACCCTCACAGACACACTGAGAAACAAGACCAGCTATCTAGACATCCATTAATCAAGTTAATACCTAATAACCCTCACAAGCACATATCTGGCAACTGTAACCAAGGTGTGATATGAAGTTGAGTCAGAAGAAACCCATTGCAAGTGGATCCATGGCCATGGTAGAATGTGGTAAAATAAAAGGAGGTGTGCAGTTTTATGTTATAGATAGCTCTTCCTCTTCAAATGGCACTGGAAGGTCACAGAGGTCTAATTGCCATTCTGTATGCTGACTGGATGGATTGCTTCTTCTCCGTATTTCTTCTGGCTTATCTCATTTGCCCTCTTATATATGCTCTAGCCATGCTCACTTTGTTTCAGTTCTTTAAATTCAAGATTCCCACTATTTGGAACTTTACTGCCTACTTTGCTACTTATTATTTAGTTATCCTATAGTTATTACTTATTCAAGGAATTTTTTCTGTCTGGCCACACCAGGTTAGACTGACCCATTCTGTGTTCTCTTAGTGCCTGTTTTGTTTTTTTTTTCCCCCGCCTCTGGCCAGCATCAGACTTAGAATTGAGTAATTGCTTGAAGTCATTTGTGAAATATCAAAATCCTCTGTTAGGCTTGTGAGAGCGCTGTGAAGGCAGGGATGGTATCTGTCTTGTTCTTAGCAATCTGCATGGCATATTACTAATGCAAAGTATATGTTTATTCAAAGGAATGTTTATAAAAGGCTGTGCAAATAAATATATTGAAAATGGCCCACTTGTTCTTCCTCTGCCTTCACCACTCTTTCCACGTCTCAAACTGCTTATTTCCACTCTTTTTTTTTTTTTTTTTTGAGGTGGAGCTTTGTGCTTGTTGCCCAGGCTGGAGTGCAATGACAGCACAGTCTTGGCTCACTGCAACCTCTGCCTCCTGGGTACAAGCAATTCTCCTGCCTGAGCCTCCCAAGTAGCTGGAATGCAGGTACCCACCACCAAGCCCAGCTAATTTTTTGTATTTTTAGTAGAGATGGGGTTTCACCAGGTTGGCCAGGCTGGTCTCAAACTGCTGACCTCAGGTGATACACCCACCTCAGCCTCCCAAAGTGCTGGGATTACAGGTGTGAGCTACTGTGCCCAGACTATTTCCACTCTTTATTGAGGTCTGTAGCAAACATCACTTCCTCAAGAAGTCTTAACTGATAACCTTATATAAAGTAGCAGCATCTATCATGTATCCCTTTTTCTGGCATAATAATCGCTACTCCTGCCCACTTTGGGTTTCCATTTGATTTGCATGCAACATCTTCACCTATTTACCTGAAGTTTATGTGAGAGTCCTTATGTGTTAGGTGAGTCTCTTGAAGACAGCAGATACTTGGTTGGTGGTTTTATCCATTCTGCCATTTTGTATCATTTAATGGAGCATTTAGGCTGTTTACATTCAGTGTTACTATTAATATGTGAGATACTGTTCTATTCATCCTGTTAGCGCATACCTAGGTACTTTTCTTTCATTGTGTTACTGTTTTACAGACCCTGTGAGGTTTATTTGGAGGAGGTTCTATTTTGGTATATATCAAGCTTTTGTTTCAAGATTTAGAGCTGGTTTTAGCATTTCTTTTGCAGGTTTGGTAGTGACAAATTCTCTTAGCATTTGTTCGTCTCTCCCTTTATGAAGCTTAGTTTTGCTGGATAGAAAATTCTTGACTCACAATTCTTTTGTTTCAGGAGGCTAAAGATAGGACCCCAAGCCCTCTGGCATGTAAGGTTTCTGCTGAGAAATCTGCTGTTAGTCTGATAGGTTTTCCTTTGTAGATTACTTGATGCTTTTCTCTGATAAGCTCTCAACATTCTTTCATTTGTTTTCACATTACATAGCCTGATGACTATGTGCCTTGGTGATAGTCTTTTTGCAATGAATTTCACAAAAGTTCTTTGAGCTTCTTGTATTTCGATATCTAGATCTCTAGCAAGATTGGGGAAGTTTTCTTCAATGATTTCTTCAAATAAGTTTTCCAAACTTTTGACTTCACTTCTCCCTCACGCACACCAATTATTCTTAGGTTGGGCCATTTTACATAATCCTATATTTCTTGAAGACTTTTTTTTTTTTAAATTTCTTTTCCTTTATCTGATTGGGTTAATTCAAAAGCTTTGTCTTCAAGCTCTAAAATTCTTTATTCTGCTTGTTCTACTCTATTGCTGAAACTTTCCACTGCTTTTTGTATTTCCCTAGGTGTGTCTCTCATTTCTAGAAGTTCTGATTGTTTTTGTCTTTATGATATCTATTTCTCTGGAATTTTTTTCATTTAGATCATGGATTTAAAAAAAGTGCTTTAGGTTATTTTCACCTTTCTCTGGTGTCTACTTGAATAGTTTAATAATCAGCCTTCTGAATTCTTGATCTGGCATTTTGGAGAGTTCATCTTGGTTTGTATCCATTGCCTGGGATCTAGAGTGATCTTATATAGGTTGTTATAGAACCTTGTTTTGTTATATAACCAGAAAAATTGTTGTTGAATTTATTTTTGATTGGACTGTGGTTTTTTTACTTTATTCCCCGCCCCCCCATTCAAGGATCTGATTTTGATGTTTATTATAGCCTTATTTGATTCTAGGTGCTTTTATGGGAGAGGCCACCACATGAGTTCCTTAGTTAAAAAGCATCATTGTATACTGGCTTTTCAAGATGCTGATTGTAGTAGTTGTGAACTTGATGTGTGGGCAAGTTCGCTGTCTCCTTTAGGTTTGGCATGGTAGGAATCTCTTGAAGCTTATCTCATTCTGTTGTGATATACAGTTTAATTTTTCCTAGTATTTTATTTACTAAGCTGATTCAGGTTCAGGCCAATAGCGAGGTATCCTTTTGTACGTACCAGTTGTAGCTAAGACAGGTGAGTAGATGTGATATTAAATGGTGGGCAGAGGTCCTAGCCTTGATAAAGGTAGTTGGGGGAGCTCTCAATTAGATGTGCTGAAGATTTATTAGAGTGAGGGGTGGAAGCTACCTCAGCTTTCCTGCCAGGCCAGCAGAAAAGCTATCTACCTCATAGCCTCACTCTTGTCCCAGTGTTCTGGCTATTCAGATCAAACAGGCATCTCTTTTCATATGCAGGAATGTTGATGTTCCAAGTAGGGAGGAATTGTGACTCAGG